CTGTGATAACATCACTTGCTTTTAGGGAATTAATTTTTTAAATTAGATTTTGTTCAATTCGTGTATTTAATTGCATCTTTTTATTCCATATGTCCATGTTCCCAATTTCTAAATAACATTAAATACTTTTGTTCTTTATCTCGATGGCTGTTATATTTTTAGTAGCAACACTTATAACAACATCATCATCATTAGCATTATCATCGGCAGCAGAAAAACTTTCTCCAACATCATCGTCATCAATATTATCATTGGTACAAAAATTATCTTCAGCATCATCGTCACAAATGGTATCATCAGAAACAGCATTAGCACTGGCAACCTCGTCGTCAATAGTTTCACCAGCTCCAACGCTGTCACTTAAAACCCCGTCGTCAATAGCATCACTGGCCGCAGCGTTAGCGTCAACATCAGTACCATTACCATCTTCAAAGATTTCATCTGGAAAATCGTTGTCACTAATACCATACTCGTCAGTAACATCATCGACAGTGTCATCACTCCTTATGCCTCAACCATCATCAACATCATTGTCATCACTGTCAAAGAAAATTCAGGAGCTGGTAATTTTTCCTTATCTCTGTATTGTACATGCAATAAAACTTGTTTCCGTTTTTCAAGGCTTTTTGTGGTTCATAAACCTCGCTGCAATTTTCTTCATCTTAGGCAAATGATACTATTTCAGAGTTCGACAGCCTAAATATTACCAGCAACAATTCCTTGCAGGTATGTGGTTTCAACGATTAAATTTAAAATCCATCTTTTAATCTAAATGTATAACGAAAGAGCAGCTACAATCTTCGTGTCAATGTTTGAAGGTGGTATAAGACATGAGACGTAAGCGCAAAAAATATCCATGAAAAGACGATATCTCTTCTACCCATGGCTTCAAAGTAATTAGTACCCAGACTATTTTTGTCAGTGATCTCTTCCGTTTTTTCTTTTAATGGTAAAAGCCTTACAGGACCATTTGAAACTTATATATAGACGAAGGTTAGAGAATGTCCTATGTGGTATTACTTTTTTTCTAGTAATTGTTGCTGTTAAATAGCAAGCGCCCGTATATGCTGCCCTTGCCAAGTATCGCAATGAATTAATTTAAATCTTATTGTGATTAACCTCGGTAACGTTAAAAACCTGAATAATGTGTATTATATGGACCAACAGGAAGCTGCTAATTTGTTTGAAAACTTCACCACTAATTATCAAAACATGACCCTTGGAGAAGGACAGCCTGGAGTAGAAAAGCTCAGAACGGAGTCCATTTTTAAGGTGGCAGTAGCCTTCGAGAAAATTGTTCTTACGTATGGCAAATACCACATACGTGGAACAAACCGTTCAAAAAGGATCAGTTACCCTCACCGCAACTTGTGTGAGTACATACATGGTTGTCTTTTCAGATTTGTGGTAATGACCATTTATTCAGTAACTGATTGAGCGATTGAGAGAGTGAATAACTGGGTAACTTACTAGTCGACTGACTGACTG